CTAAGGTAAATGGAAAATAATAAGGATTGGTAAAATTAAATTCTGCAGATTCTGCAGTATATTATTTATTAAAAAAATAATAATAATAAAAATAATGCTTTAATAGTAAGACTAACATTTTATTAAATAAAATAATTAAATAACTCATTTTATTAGATATTAATTTGAGCCTGAGTTACTATTAAAATAAAAAAATATTTATGATTAAATATTTAAATATTATTAATGGATTAATAGAGCTTGACAAAAATAACTAATTTATATTAATAAACGATTGGTTCAGATGTCAGATAATCCTTTTTTTTGGCGATCAATTATTAATTTTCAAAATTGCAGGCAAATTTGCCTGCAAAACCATTAAGGGAATAACATTTATTATAAATTTATTATTTATAAATAAACTTTATTTTTAATATTATATTATTAAATATATATAAAATTTATTTATCTTAATTTTATAAATATTAAAAAATTTGCTAAAAAATGTGATTCTATAAATTTTTATTGCATTTTAATTTTAATGAGATTAAATTAAATTACAATAAAAATAAAATTTGTCAAAAATTTTTAGAGTTTCATTTTTCTAGCAAATCTTCTGTATAATATTAAAATATTTAATATTTTTTTGAATATTTTTTTTTTTTTTTAAAATTTTTAATATTTATTTTAATAATATTTCTTTTTATTAATTAAAATTAGATTTTTTATATCTTATTTACTATAAATTTAATTAATATTATTAATATTTTTTTACAAAAAAGTTTTTAACTTAAAATATATTTTAAAGTTTTTATTTTTAATATATTATTTTATTTAAAAATAACAATTTTTTTTATTATTTTATTTAAATTATAATAGTTTACATTAACATGAAATTGAAATAAAAACCTAAATATTAAAATGTTTTGACTTTAAAAGTCAAAATCAAAATGAAAGTTATAATGATTAAAATAATATTATATCATATATCATATAATTTTTCATATATAAAAAAATCTAAAAAATAACAAAAAATATATGATTTCAGTTAATATTAAATATTACTCTGTTTCTCATAAAATAAGCACCATTAAATTTTTTGTGATTAAATAGATCCAATGAGCTAATTATTATTAATTTTAGATCAGCTTATCTTAAGATAATAGTGATTGTATTTTCAAAATCCAAACTCCTTTATTTAAAGTAAAATTTATTAAATTATAATTTTATTAAAATTTAATTATAATTTTCTCAATATTGACTAATCAAAAATTGATATTATATAACTTATTAGATCTGTTTAGTTACAAATAATCAAATAGTAGTTATTTTATGATAAATGAAATGATATGACTGAGATTGTATAGTGGGTGACACCATAAGATATCCAATAAAATAAATGATCTTTAAATGTTAATAAAAAAATATTGAGAGATTATTTTTTAAAAAAAATTAACGTTAATTAATACTTCTTAATGAACTCTATTAAATCACGTTAAGATAATTAAAATCAAATTATCACATCCAAAGTTATAAACTTTTAAAATATGAAACTTTATTAGATTAGATTCCAATTTGGCCCTATAATTTTAACCTGAATTATAGAATTTTAGCCAGAATTACATTTGTGTAATATAGTAAATTTTATATAAAATATCGTAATACATGTAAATCTGATTCGTCAAAAATGCCAAAAGTAAAAAAAAGGGTTTTATATTTGCGAAAAATAGCAAAAATTTCAAAACAGTGAAAGGTATGCTAAATAAATAAAAAAAAACTTTTTTTATATTATAATTTTAATTTTTTTTAGTTTTTTGAAAATAGAGATAATAATGAAGAATATAATTCTTCTGATAATGAAGATTTAGATATGGGATTCGAACAGGAAGATGAATATTTTAATAAAGAAGAAAGTTTATTTCAAACTCTAGTTGACAATATAAAAATTTTATACCATCTAAGCGATCACTTACGTATCATGAAAATTCTGTCAGAACTAAAGAAGAAAGAAGAAGTTTATACATAAAGCTATCAAGGCTAATGGTCAAACAATAGATAAGTTTTTCACAATAAATAAAGAAAAAATTGATGATAAAAAGAAAAATAATAATGAAAGAGATGAAATAAATGATAGTGAAAGAGAAGAAGAAAATGATGATGAAGGAGAAGAAAGAAATGATGATAGAGAAGCAAGGAATGATAATGAAGGAGAAGAAGAAAATGATGATAAAAAAGTAAGAAATGATGAATCAAACAATCAATTACTTGATGAATATATCATGAAGATCAAAAATAAATTTAAAACTAACAAAAAAATAACACCAGGTCAAAGGGTTCGATTTAAAGCAGTTCAATACTTTTTTTAATTACAAAAATCTGCTTATCGTAATTTGAAATCTGTTAGAATTGTTGCATAATTACTAAATCATGGAGAATGGTTTTCAAAATGTGTTCAGACTTAGGCTAAATTATATGTATTATATAATAATATTCCACAAATTGGTTGTGGTAAATATCCAGAAAAAAGTTTACTTGAAGATGAAAATGTTTGGCTTAAAGTTTCATCATATTTATGAAATGTAAAACATAATATAACAATTCAGAATTTTTGTGATTATATATCATCAGATATATTACCATCACTTGGAATTGAAACAAAAGCAACAATAAGGTAAAAAATTAAATATTTACTTTTATACTTTTAGATAATATTTAATAATAATAATAATTTTAATAATTTTATATTAAGCACTCGAACAACAAATAGATGGTTGAAAAAAATGGGGTTTATTTATGACAGATACCAAAAAGGAATGTATGTAGATGGACATGAAAGATCAGATATAGTTGAATATCGAAAATAATTTCTTGAAGAAATTAGTATGTAAGTTTACTAAAAATAATGAATTTAAATAAATTTAATTAATTAATTTAAATTTATATAATATTATAATTTTATTTAGATATTAAAATCTAATGCCAACATTTGAAGGTGATGATCTTGAAAAACGAATTGATCCAATTTTAAATGATAATGAAAAGTTACATATACTTGTAACTCATAATGAAATTACATTTCAATCAAATGATGGATTAAAATCTGAGTGGATGCCAAATGGAGAACAACCTTTACGTAAAAAAGGTCAAGGACGTTCAATTCATATTAGCGATTTTTTAACAGACACTATTAGAAGATTAAAATTAAATGATGATTAAATAAAAAAAGTTGGAATTTTCATGTATTATGAAGCACGTGTAATGATTAATCCATGTAAAATTTTGATGGATGGTGAAATGTAGATAAATTGATTGAACAGGTAAATATATAAATAAAAAATATGATATTATAATATAATAAGTAATTATTAATTTTAATATTAATAATTATTTAGATAGAAAATCGGGCTATACCTATTTTTGAAAAAACACATCCAGGTGCAATTGCTATATTTGTCTTTGATAATTCTTCAAGTCATAGAAAATATGCTGACAATACATTAAATGCATATCACATGAACTTGAATTCAGGTGGGAAACAAGCTAAATTACGTGATACGATCTTTAATGGACAAATTCAATATATGAATTTTCTGGATAATTATCATAACAAAGATTTATGTGGAAAACTAAAAGGAATGAGAATTATTTTAGAAGAAAGAGGTTTATGACCATCAACAGGATTGAAAGCATACTATAATAATAATGAATATAATATTAATTCTCAATGTTGTGCAAGACATATTCTTTCAAATCAACCTGATTTTCTTAATACTAAACCTTTAATTCAAGAAATTATTGAAGTAAAAGGTCATAAAGTTATTTTTTATCCAAAATTTCATTGTGAACTTAATTATATAGAAATGTATTAGGATGCAGCGAAATGATATGCTCGTCAGCAATGTAATTATAGTTGGACAGGATTGCAAAGAATTGTTTCACTTGCATTAGATTCAGTTCCTATTAGTCATATTAGAAAATATGCTAGAAAGTCTGCACGATATATGGATTGTTATAGAAAAGGTTTAAATGCTAAACAAGCTGAGTATGCTGTAAAAAAATTCAAGTCACATAGAGCAATACCTAATTCGATCTTGACAAATATTGATTAAGTATTCGATTCTGATTGGTTTAAATGCAAATTCATGTGATTTATTATAGTCATGTGATACATTATATAAGTAAATAAAATTTGGCCGTTTAAATAAAAAGTGAATGTCTTATGCTATCACACACCGTACATTTTTTATTTTTTAGATTTTTTTATATATAAAAATTCATGTGATATAATATCATTTGACCATTTCAACTTTTGAATCTTTTCAAAGTCAAAATGTTTTGATCATTTTGACTATTTCAGATAGTCAAAATAATTTATTTTGATTTTATGTATAGTCTACATATTATAACCCAAATAATTTTCAAGAATTGAAAAATATGACACAGTAAAGTAATCTACAAATGATTATCATGTGGATTGATCTACAAAATCAATGACATAATGATCTGCAAAAGTGATCTGCAAAATTAATCAGATCAGTTAATGAAAAAATAAAGTAATAGATCATTAACCTATGACAACATGTATAACCTAAGAACAATATAATTATATTCTCTACATCTCTTCAAATATATATATATTATAGTTATAAAACTATTGCATAGCAATTAGATAGTCATTACTCAATTATTATAACAGAATTACATAGAGAAAAATGAGGAAATCATTATATAGTTTTTATGCAATAGATAGCAATTTAGTATAGAAATTTCATTATAAATAAGCTGAGTTTTTTATTATATATTGAGAGAAATTTAGAAAGAATTTTAAAAAGAGAACTTAGGAAATTTGAAAGATAATTTATAAGTTAATAAAAATCTTTACTAAATTGTTTCAGCAAATCAATCACCTGTATTAAACATACTTTTGTGTCAAAATACTTTGTGTCAACTGTATTTAATATTATTGATTTATTTATGTTAATAAATCATTTAAGTGTTAAACATCTACTTTGTATCAACAATCATATTTAAGAGTCACCAATAAGGTTGCTAAACGAAATTCAGAGTTTAGACAGACGTCTAAATGGTAAAGGTAAAACTTGGTTAAATTATATTAAAACCTTATTAAAAAATCTGCGAAATTCAAAAAAAGGTAAAACTATATCAAAGCTTATAAAAATGATGAAACTATATTAAACACTTAATAAAAATTTAGCAAAACTAAAGGTTTAGATGTTTAGTCAAATCCAAAATAAGTTTAGACAAGCAATTTTAGTCACCAATAAGCTAAAGTGTTTAATATTGTAAATACTTTAAGTTGAGCACTACTAACCTGGTTATAATAAGAGTATTTTATAATATCAACAAGGTAATTTCTCTAACATCTTGGGAATTATGAGTCACCGTAGTAGATTGGAAGTCTTTATACTTGCTAATTTGAAAACTTAATTGTGAAAGTACATCGACGTCAAATGAAGTTTAAAGATAATTAAAGTCTCTCTTAATTTACAGTAAAGATTAAGCTAAATCTTGTTGCTACTCAATTGATTATGTGTTTCAGTCCATGTGTAGCAAATATGAAAAATTAGTTCTCAATGCATTTATGTAAAATTTAAAGTTCAGCGGTCGGCATTTTTATTTTTATCGTATCAAAAATTTTATATTAAAATATTGATCAAATAGTAGTAATCAAATAAAGACAAATTAGTTAAATGATTAACAAATTGTTTAAATGATTAATGTGAATTAGTTAGATGATTAATACAAATATTTTTTCTTTTTCCTTTAAATATGCTAGTTGTTAATACAAGAGTTTTACGTGGAAACACTATACTTTTTAGCTGGAAAATAATGAATATTGTTACCCTTGAAATTAGATCTGCAAAATTGATCTACAGATGATCTACAGTCAATCAAATTAGTACTACAAAATCGATCATCAAATTAATGCATAAATTAAGTAATGAAATGATCTGCATAAATTGATTTCCTAAAATAGTAGTAAAATTGATTTGTAAAAAAAAACTCTCTCTTACGACTTCCCAGTTACTTAAAAAAGATCGACAAAGAAAATAAATATGCCAGTAACTAGAGCTACCTCTGCCAACAAACAACACAAACGAACACAACAAATTAACAAAAGACCAAACTACAACAACGCTGAAGCTTCTGGTTCTAAAAATATAAATACAACTGAAAACACTTCTCTCAAAAAACAAAAAATTACAACCATTTCAAACGAACAAACTGAAAATATCCCAGTGCAAAATATCGTTAATAATCAAACTCCTGAAACTGTTATCCCAACACCTGTAAAAACCTTACAAACTTTAGAAGATACTGAAACTTACAAACCAGCCGACATGGAAGTTGACCCAACTATCACTTCAACTGAACAACAAACCCCATTTTCGCCAATACTTAATATAAACAACTCCATACACACCAAGAACAACGATGAATATTTGTTTAAAGACACAGGTTTTGATTACGAACTTCTTGACAACAACAAAGGAAAAAACAAACAATCTTGGGATGATGAAGTTTCTGAAAATGAGTCACGTGAATAAGAGCAAAAAGGAGCTACATATAATATTATCACTGCACCGACGCGTTTTTACGCGACTGATAACGCGTCTGATATAAAAGGCAAATCTATTACTGAAAAACGTACTAACATCAACTCCTTATTCATTCGCTATAATGGGTATCAGGGCTCTAATTACATTTCCAAATTG